CTTAAACTTTCTTTTTATTCCCCCACAATACACTTGAAAGTGTTGTGAAGCAAATGGTTAAGCCAAGCTCCTATGTTGCCCCCCCCCCTCACCCATGTGTGTTATTATTTGACTTTATCTTTTGGTACTCACTCCATTAACACCTAAGTTCTGAATAGTGTTTCTTATAGGGACCTCAGACCTGGGAAACTTGCGTGTGACTTTTGTGTGACACCACCTTATGGTCTTACACATCACATGATATTCATATAAAATGCTTGCTCAACTGCTGTAATGTGAACTTGTCTGTCTCAAGTGTAAAGTAAACCTGGTAAGAACTGTGACAGATATTGAAACTGAGCCTCAGAAGACCGTAATTATATACTTTACAGTCACATGATCGTATCATTTCCGTAACTGAGATATCTTCAGTCAGTTCATATCAGCAATCTTGATTCTGAGTCAGCATTTTTTTTTTTCCAAGTTTTGTCTGAATGACAGGTGAACACTTAAAATACTGGAGTAGAAGAAGTCTACATCTGTGTGAAGTTCCACTCCATGACATAAGAGTTGGTGCATGGGATGGCTTGATTGTAAGGAGGGTTATGAACTTGTGTTTTATGCAGATACATTTAATTCCAAAAGATAACTCATGTAAGACATACTGCCAACAGATCAGCATGCTTCATCCTGTGATGTTATCACCGCCGCTGACTGAGTACTCATAAGAATGGCAGAACCCACACAGTGAACATGGATAACAGAAAGGCCTTGTATCAGCATAGTTCTCCAGATAATCTCATTGTACTATACAGTAAACAGGATAGAACAGTATAACAGTAGGTAATGAAGGGTTTAAGCTGTTTCAGAATTTATGCATCTGGGAAGAACTATAATCAGGAATCAGGTTCATGAATAGAGACCACTACATGGTTAGAAACTTTGTGTTTATACAACTCACTCACTGTTACTAGTTATGAAATCAAGGAAATCATATAAGGCTGAACGTTTTGTGTTAATATCAACAACCACATGGAAATTTAGCAGCGGTGGGGGATGACATTAGGATGAGTGATAAGTTGTTAAGAGGGAGGTGGATGGAGTTGAATCAGATCATGTTCAAAGTCATAGGCAAAGTTTGTTATCGGTATGTGGGACCATCAAGAATTATTTAGTTTCACCATGATGTTCGCTTCCATGAATTTTCTTCTAGGTCAGGTTGTAGTATCAGTTGCAGTAAGCAGGTGAACTCCAATGGCTGAGGTTAATCTATGCACATTTATAGTTGTATGAAGTTTTGGTGAATCCCAGCTCACTCAAAACAAATTAGAAGCAGTCAGGATTACTGGGTTTTTGGACCTTGTCCATCATTGGGTATTCAAAATAACAATTCGGATCAGCATGCAGTTAGCAACTTTTAGGGAAGGTCAGTATGGAAATCTATATGACTCTTTGTTCCAGCTCCAGCCTTTGTTTCACAAGTGGTGCTGATGGTAGGTATGTGTTGCTATAATATGAAAATCTTCAAATTATTCCTGTGCAGTGCTGTTTATGGATTTGGTTGGTTTTGTTTGTTCCATTTACTTTTAACTTCCATCCCTCTCTTAGTTTCGGATCCATACATGCATTATCACAGTATTGTACAGTCTCCACTTGACAAAACCTGATCCCATGCATGCAAATGTTACTGATGTAGGGTGTCTAGTGATTGAAGATAGCTCTTTCTAATGGACCCTAGGCATCTCCCACCCTCTCACCTGAGGATACAAACAGATCCAGTTTCTGAAATGTTCTGTTTTTTTAGAATGCCTGATCACAACCCTTTAAAATCCAAATTAGAGCACTTTATTAAAATATGGGAAACATAAGAGTGGGGAATGTCAGTGTTCACTGTGATTGTAAACGTGAAGTCATTTGGAGCATGTAAAGGATTCTGCATCAGTTTGGAAGGATGGTAAAGGAATTGGTTCTAATGAAACATTTGTTGCATAGCTGTGTGGAAATGAATTGCAGAAGCAAATATGTTTTAAGCTACTTTTAGGGGTTTCCCTAGAATTTGGTAAATATGATAAGGATAGCTGATTGATAGAGACAGTTGTCATTGCATCCTAAACATACCCTACCACAGTCAATAGGTTCGTGGAATGGCCGCAAAGCGTTGTACGGGAATTTACTGCCAGTATGTTTCAGCAATGTTTTTGACAGGTATATCAACTTTGGCAGACTTGCATAGCGACGAACGGCAACTATTTTGAGGGCCGATGTGGGTCTGCTTAAGTGTATGTGAATACCTTGTAATATGATGCGATTAAAACCACATTCCGCGAACTTAATGACTCACCACATATAATCCCATTACATAGATCTCTTTCCATTTACCCTAAGTACATAATTTTTTATATTTTTGTGTTTTAGAATACAGTTGATTCAGAAGTTAAAACTCTTCATGTATTGAAAGATGAATTCAAAAGGACAACTGTAGCAGATCAGGAACTAGATGAACAAATGCAAGACAAATCTCCTTCTTCATTGAACATCAGGGATAAACTTATTTCCAAAATCTCTGCCCAGGGTGATAAAGTTCGGCAGTTGAAGTCTGCAAAAGCTGCCAAAGTTGTTATTGATTCTGAAGTGAAAGTGCTGCTTGCTTTGAAATCTGAATTTAAGTCTGTCACTGGAGAAGAGTGGCAACCAGGCTTGCAGTTGGCTGTTAGTATTGCACCAGGAGAACAGCTGTCTTCCAAGATCGTTGAACAAGGGGACATTGTTAGAAAATTGAAGTCTGAAAAGGGAGCAAAGGAAATTATAGATGCTGAAGTCAAGACACTGTTAGCTCTGAAAGCAGAGTACAAAACTGTAACTGGAGTAGAGTGGAAACCTATGTCAAATAAACCAGAGCCTGTGACACCAATGGCAGATCAGGATGGGAAGTCTGAAGAGAATGAAGTGGATGTGCTCACATCAAAAATCACAAAGCAAGGAAATGTAGTAAGGAAATTGAAGTCCAGTGGAGGAGACAAGGTTAGCATGCTTTTGGTATTATTCACACATCTTTCATATGTGTGCCATTAAACTATAAATACTAGGGAGATTTTGAGGTTCTCAAGAGCCATGGTTATGAAGAGTTCTGTCATCTGTGGTATAAGGCCATATGGTCTCTTCTGGAAGAATATGTTGCCTCCATCTTCAGGGTCAAAGAATAAGCCAAGCAAGAAACCAGCTTGGTACCTGTTTCATGCTGGTTCCTGGCTTGGTTTATTATTTGACACTGAAGATGGAGGCGACATATTTCTTTGAAACATTGGTTGACTTTAAACTGACTGCACAGTGATATGTCACAAAATTTTTCATGAGAGGCCTGCAGGAATGTGCAGAGCTTCAGTTTTCACTGATTGGCAAATTGGGAGGGAAGTCGCATGTTTATATATTATTTTGGGGGATCTTGATGTCATAAAGTTTGAGAACCCTTGGGTTGTATTATTTTTCTCATCCAAAGGGCAACATAATTTGAGAGTGTTTGAGAAGAATATTTAGTCCATAGTGGAAGAAAGCAACATGATGGAGAAAATTACATAATGAACAGCTTCATAATAATATTTACACTTCACCAGATATTATGAGGATTATTAAATCAGTTATAGTAAGATGGGTGGGCTGTGTACCACACATGGGAAACATAAAAAGTGAATTCAGATTTTAGTCACAAAATAGGACCACTTGGGAGACTTTAGGATAGAGGGTAAGATAATTTAAGATTTATATTAATGAAATAGCAGGTCTAGAAAACCGAAATTAACGGCCGTGGGGATTTGTCACGCTGACCATGTGACACCCTTTATCCGCAAAAGTTGGCACTAAATTCGTCAACAAGTGGCGTTCACTTGGCCGATATAGTTCGCTTGCAGACTAAAAGCACAGAGTTTATTATTTTTTTTTTGTTTATTTATTTTTTATTATTTGTTAATGAAAAAGTGTGAAACTGACTATATTTATCTAGTTCAGGAAAGTGACCAGGCTTTTGAGAACAATGTTATGTACCTTTGGCAGTAAAAAAGTAAAGCTATCCCTGTAACAGGCCATGAAGGCCCATAGGATTGTGAGACGTTGAGGGACCCACATTATCTAGACAATTGGCTCAAAGATGGCGGTAAGGTTGTCAGCCTTACGCGCCGGCCGCACTTTACTCCCCAGGAAAATTAGTTAATTAATTCCTGGTACTTGTTTCTTTTAGAGACTGAGTTGACCCCAGGGCCATAGTGCGGCTGGAAGGATTAGGTCAATTGAAAAAAATCCAACGACCTCACCAGGACTTGAACCTGTGACCTTCCTTCCGGCTTGTAGCATAACCCCTCAACCAACTACGCTACGGTGTACCACCCTATGTGCCTTTGATATGCGTAATAAATAAGGTTTTTCTTGACTAGCTGAGTGACTATTTGCTTCTCACTGCCTTCCTATGGAGTTAATTCCATGAAAGTACTAGACATGAAACACAGAAATTTGATACTGAATAAATATCTTATATTATTGATTTTTATGAACTGTAATGATATGAGCTAGAATTACAGATTTTGAACCCAGAAAATTCTTACAGTGTACATAAATCACAAAATTTGGAGAAAAAGTTCCCCTTCAATTGTGTCAGATTTTCAATCTTAGTGTAAAACCTAATAATAATCAGAGCCCATAATGGTGATCTAGTAGTGCTATGACAATTCCCACTCTACTTTTAATGGTTGTGAAGTAAGTTCATGTCTAACCTTGAGAATGTGACAAACCATTACAGTGAAACCCCCAGTAAAGGTCTGCCTTGGGGACAGGATGTTTATATCTTAAATCAAGAAATTTCTTAAATGGGTGTTACATCAAATTTGAACAGAAAATTATGCTTAGTGTTCATATCAAATATCTTCTTTAACCTAACAAGACAGTGAAGAAATATGTATTACAGTAATCGTTAAAAAAAATATATATATATTAACAGAATATATTTGAAAAATGTCGTCTTCTGGGATGTGGTATCATGTAGATCTAGTGAAAACCAACGTTTCAGAGGAACATGTTGCCTCCATTTTCAGGGTAGAAAAGTCTATGAGCGAGGAACCAGCGTGAGCAGGTGGCTGCAGCCACCTCACCAGCTCGTGGATTTTTACCCTGAAGATGGAGGCAATACGTTCCTCCAAAACGTTGGTTTGCACTAGATCTACATGGTGCCACATCCCAGAAGACAATATTCTTCATTGTCACCTCCGTGAAAACCTCAGATCTTGCAGAGAATATATTTGTTGGGACCATTCCAGCAGAATTTTTTCCCATTCATCATAAGCCCATAGTATCATGTTCTTTCTATTCTTGGCCCATGCCCCACTCTAAAATATGGCATCTGTGATTTTCTCATTTGAAAACCTGATTTTGTTTCACATGGAAAGAGTCCAAAGCAATATGACATTTCATACGTGGAATGTTTGGATGGTCCTCTGTTTCACTGCTAACATTCAATTTTTCCCTCATAATCAGCTTTTTCATCTTGTTTGTTTTTACTAATTAAATTTTAAGAATCACTGAACATTGCATAAGAATTATGCATATATGTAAAGAAATGTTTGTATTCTTTACACATTTAAATGCAAATCTGATGTGGGATGATCATTTCTCTTCTTTCTCCAGTATCTCTTTTCCATCTTTTGTCTGCTCTATCTTCATTACCTTCTTCCTTTCTTCTCACACTCCCTCAAGTTAAAACAGCTCACACACCTGCATTCTTTCATACCTTTATTGGCTTTGTATCTCCATCTCCCTACATCTTTTCCCCCATATTCCTTTTCCACCCCATTTATTTGTTCATCCTACCATCATTTCTTTCCTTCATCTAGCAATGGCAGCAGATAGTTTGGGTTTTTCCCCATAGCCTAGCAAAATCAGTAGATCTGGGTTTTCCCCTTTATCATAGAATAGCAATAGATCTTCTGGGTTTTTCCCCATATCGTAGCATAGATTCCAGCGTTGTCGTGATCCTAATGCTTTCTTACAGAGGAATTATGTGGAAATAAATAGGCATGGAATTGAACCCATACGTGTAGCAGCAAAATTAACAATATTCCCACAGTTGTTTCTCCAAGGCAGACATTTTTTTGCCTTCACCAATATTTTTACAGTGCACCATTTGGAAGAAACAGATGGACAGACAAACTTTGGCGATTATGTGTGTGAATTATACTGTGACTTGAAAACATATTAGTAAATAAATCTTCTCCTTCTCATTTTTATTATTTTTATTTTTATGTTGTTGTAGTTGTTGTTATAGCGTCAGTAACTAAATTATGTTTTTACCAGAATCTTGTGGATGCAGAAGTAAAGAAGCTATTGGAGTTAAAAACACAGTACAAGAAGCTGACTGGTACCGACTTCCCAACAGAAAGTAGCAGGACTCCTAATAAAAAAGAAAAGACAGCTGTGGCCAAGAAGCAAGCTGAGACACCTGTAAGTTGTCGANCAACGTCTAACCGTCAGCACTTCTAAAGTGAGCACGTGTCTTGCGTCCAGTATACTGGACTTTCGGCATCTTCGAGGTCACAGGTACCGTCCGGTATACCGGACTTTCGGTCGTTAAAGGTTAAAACCACATTGTACACTACATTTTTTTACCATCATTGGTCATCATCACGTGTTTTAAAACTGTTTGAGGAGACTGTTATGCTTGCATTTTGAGCTTATATTGCTCAGTGTGTAGTCCCATCACACATTCATGTTTTTCATCATGCTCCTGCTGCATTTTGTGCTTAGCATGCAAGTGTTAAAGGAGTGTGGCATGTGAGACAGAGTATCAGAGATATTTGAGTATCACCATATGATGTGTATATATATGATCTGTTTCTGTAGGCCCACAAAGATGAAAGTCAGACTGGTTTGAAAAAGCAGACTCGACTTGGTCTGGAGGCAAGGAAAGAAGAAAACCTGGCTGATTGGTATTCACAGGTATGATCATCATCTTCATTTGTGAGATCTGAGGCTTTCACAGCAGTCTGTATGAAGATTTCTGTGTTCTTAGATGTGACACCATGCAGTCTGGTAGATAATCACTTCTCCCCCCCCCCTTTTTTTTAAAAAGGAACCTGCTGCCTCCATCCTCAGAGTAGAATAGTAAGCTGAGCATGGAATAAGTGGTATGGATATAGGGAAATGAAAGCCTGGTTCCAGGGCTCTGAGTGAACCAATAGGAGTAAGGAGGATTATACAAAGACTGTTGCCCTGTTCCCCCTCTCTTGCTTTTCTCAGAGGCACGGTGCAGATTGTCCCTTTCCATATATCTGTACCATTTGGTTTCCAGTTCAGCTCACTCTCCTACCTTGGAGATGGAAACAGCATTCCAAAAATATTTGTACTATCTCACTAAACTATATCGCAGCACATCAAAGTAGATAGTAGCATTCGTTTACATTTGTCTGTAACTAACAAACTCATTGCATGATAAAGAAAATGTATAGCTTCGGAGCTGGTGTAGAAAACTCCTTGCTTTTACGGAACCTGAAGGCTCATCATCACATAACCTATCACTTTACACTGTATTTCCATGAAATACATTTTGATATAATCATCGCATATACACCTAGGTACCTTGAGTATCCCTTGAGATTTTCCAGCCAGAATTGTATATGCATTTGTCATCTACTGATTCATGCTACATGACCTGTACATCTCATTCTGTTCACCTTGATGCCCTTTTCTCAAACACTCTGAATCTGTTTTTCACATAGAGGGAGATCAGGTGTCATACCTGTGTAAGATTGTACTTTTGTGTTCTAGAGTCTTGGACATGGTCCAGGAATTCATACTGTGGGCTTCTGGGTTATAACGCCATGTTGCAGTTTGGTAGATGGTATGGATATTTGAGAGGAATATACTGCTTCCATATTCTGCCCAAAATATTTAAGCACTATGCCCCTTCAAAGTATTGGTACCACTTACAAGACTGCAGCATGGTGTCATAACGCAGAAGATCATGACATGAATCTTCATATTGTGATAACCCCAAATGTTACAGAGGACCACTGATCACAGAAAACAAGTCACATGATAGAACTGTTGCAGTGTGACATCATTGCGCCTGCGCGGAAGTATGTTTACTGTGCCTTTGCTGTGTAGCCTCATTGTTACATTGTTGTGAGCGTGCATCATGTGTGTTTAGCGGCCTTTTACCTAGCAACACTCTGGCCATCCATGTTCTTGTAGTATAAGGTTGACCTTTAAAAATATATGTTAGTATATATTAGTGCTGATTTAAAGGAACACACAATGAAATATGAAATACTTAGTAACTTTCCAAACACAGCAGTGTGCCATATAGTACCGTGTATGCAACACAGTTACATTATTGATACTATTCGGTTAAAGTTCTGGTTAAAGTCAATGAAAAATATTTGTGATGAAGAATGTGTCACGGGTTCACTCCTTGTTACATAAATGTTGGAAAATGTTTGCTTTCACACAACAAGGACAAGAAAGCCTACCTAAATTCTTACAGAGTAAGTGACATCTTTTAAATTCTTACATTGTGGCTGATAACCAGATTCTTTATGCAGTGATTTAAAGCCGCTGAATTCTTATATTGTTGCTGAAAGTTCTCACTGCTGTAATGGCAAACCTAGCTGCCCAGTGACAAATTTACATCAAATGTTATTTACCAGTGAGTTGTTCCAGCTGTACTTATTGCTCCACATTCTAATGAACCTAATAAGATAGGTGCTGCTGTTAGAGGCCACGCCATAGCTCAAGCGGTTAGTCACTGGCTGCCCACTGTGGTGGCCTGGGTTCAAACCGAGGTCTGGTCAAGTGGGATTTGTGGTGGAAAAAGTGGCACTGGGGTAGGTTTTCCCCTGCCAATTCCACCAAATTCTCCATCATCATAGTCACCCGGGGCAGGTACAATAGGTCAATCAGTGGCCGCTGTGCCAAGTGGACCCAATTGGACTCCGCCCCCAACTATGTGAATTAATTAATTAATTAGGTGCTGCTGCACGTTTTTTAAATTTATGGTTTGTATGGTTGGTTTGAGATCAAAACAATGGTTTTCATTATATTTGTGAGATAACATCTTAAAACTCCATTTTATGTTTTTCAGGGATGAAAATAATTTGTATTAAACAGTATCAGGAAGAAAATACAGTGTTATTTTTTCTTATAGCTGTCTTTCTTGTGGTAATGATTTTTTTTCAGTATTTTGGTTGATAATGTAAAGTAACAGCAAAAGTTATGATTTGGTGAATGGTTGAATTTTAATGTGATTTGAGGTATTAATATAGACAGAACTTACAATCACACAAGCCAATCAAAATTTCAGTCTGTCCACGTAACTAGATTTATGTGAAGGCCCAAAATTTAACAAAATTTTGAAGCTGAAGACTGACTTTTGGAAACAGAGAGAAAGTTCAACTTTTCAATCAGGACAGAGTGTATGTTACTGTTGCAGGTGCTGACTAAGGCTGAACTGATAGAATACTATGATGTTAGTGGCTGCTACATCCTAAGGCCATGGTCCTATGCCATCTGGGAGGCCATCAAGAACTTCATGGACCCTGAGATCAAGAAACTGGGAGTACAGAACTGCTATTTTCCACTGTTTGTTTCACGAGCAATGCTGGAGAAGGAAAAGACACATATTGCAGACTTCTCTCCAGAGGTTAGTAGCACTGATTCATTAACAAGAATAACTGAACCAAGCTGCTAACTCTCCAGTTGTAGAAACCCAAATGTGCAACATGTTAAGTGGGTCCCCTTTCACTGCAACACAATGCATCCGTAGGTTGTGGATGAAGAACATGGCCCCCAGATGTGGAGGGTAATTGTAAACATGTTGAATAAACGTAAGTTTTGAGGTTTTCACGGCGATGACTATGAAGAAAGTCGTCTTCTGGGTTTTGGTGCCAAAACCCAGAAGACGACTTTCTTCATGTTGAATAAACGTTCAGAAACAGCTGACAGTAAGTGAGTTTCAACACTGGGGTTTGGGCAACCCTTGACTATAAGGTGTTTGAACTTTTATATTGATCTTGAAACTGGACAGATTTTTGGCTCAAGATTGTGTCCAGGTATGGACTTTGGTATTAGCTGATTGAAATGAGTAACGAATTGACACCTCCGAATTTTGTTTATCTATCTCTCTCCTTACCCCCCCCCCTCTCTTTACATGAATGTTTGAGTAAGAGGTAGGCCTTGACCAGTTCTTGTGATGTATTGTGCATCACCCTCTGTTTAGCCCTACAACAATCCTGCACTTCAAAGTGCAGTATCTTACTTAGAGGGGTAACTTGGTAATCACCTGGCTGCATAAAGTAGTGTCCTAGGTGTATGTCTTCACATGCTGTGTTGTGAAGTACTGCATATGAAACAAATTTTACAGAACTTTTTAGATACAGATATCACATAGCATGTTTATTTTAATAGTTGAACTGTACATTACATGAAATTGTACAGGTATAATGAGAAGTCATTCATGTTTGTGCTCTTGTGACTTTTAACATGACATATACATTTAGATTCTAAAGGGTTCTGACGATGGTGGATGACACACAGAATTACTGAGGTTTTGGACTTTTCCCATCATCCGGAATTTTAGGTAATAGAAGACATGACGTTTCAGAAACTGGATCTGTTTCCATCTTCCTTCCATCAGGAGAAAGGAAGATGGAAACAGATCCAGTTTCTGAAACATCGTTTCCTCTATTACCTAAAATTCTGGGAAAAGTACATATACATTTGTTGAACATGCATACACTAACTTACTGTTCAACTTTTATTGCACTTAAGATTTATACCCTGCTGAATTGTGCTTCCTGGTAATGTTACAAGACTTTTACTTATTATTTACATGTAAGGTACATATGTGTATTGTTATTTTAATTTTAGAAGGAAAATTGTGAGCAGCACATTTCTGAGTACTTGCCTATAATGTAACAGTTAACTTTGCATCAAATCACTTCATTGGATTTGAAGGGGAATGGTCTCTAACTTTTCAGTATGGTGTTGCAGGTGGCATGGGTGACCAAATCTGGTGACACAGACCTTTCTGAACCTATAGCTGTTCGTCCAACCAGTGAAACTGTCATGTATCCAGCTTATGCCAAGTGGGTGCAATCTTATCGGGACTTACCCATCAAACTGAATCAGTGGAATAATGTTGTGGTAATTATTTAATTGAAGTACAAGATCTCTTTTTGTTAAGAAAGTGATTCTTTATGGCTCCATTGTTCTTACTTCTATTCTTCCCTTTGGAGAGTCATTTTGGATGTAACTGAGTTAATGCTGAGCACTTGTTACTCAGACACTGTTTTCTTCAGTTGTGGATGGTTGTTACCTGACTGATGTTGCAGAGATGGGAATTCAAGCATCCCCAGCCCTTCCTCCGGACAAGGGAGTTCCTGTGGCAAGAAGGACATACAGCTCATGCAGCCTTTAAGGAAGCAGAGGAGGAGGTCTACGTTATTTTGGGTAAAGCTCACAGTTACATGTCAGTATTCCAAGTGGGCAAGGCACATAATGGACGNACTGAGCATGTCTAACAAGAGCTTCAGGGCATTGATATCAGAAAGGTCCAGTGAATATTAGCTCTGAAATGTTTTTGTAAAGAGTTGAAGGGTGTACTATATCTGCCTGCTTGATATTTCATATCCAGAACTATTCATTGTATTTCAATGAAGTTGGCTGGTGAATTTAATTTTGGTCCCTATTGGTCTGCTATCATCTTCAGTGCAGATGCCACACAAAGAATGACATGAATTATTTTTCCTTGTAATTAATTATAAACTCATGCCATAGCTACTTATGTGAGACCTACACAGTATACAGCTTAACTAAATCAATACTTTATGTCATGTACCTTCTTTTTGTAATATATATGTTTTACTTGTTCAGATATTTTGTATGTTCAGTTTGACCTGCATGTAATGTTGGGCTTATAATGGATTGATACTGATAGACACAGATTATGAGGGACCTATAGTTAGTGCTCAGAATACTCATAAAAGGAAAAGGAAGATGCTTTCACTTTCTGTTTACAAATACGTTCCATAATGATTATATAAGTAATTCTGTATTACTACCTATTTCTGTAGCTGACTGGGATAGCTCAGTCTCTATGGCTGGATGGCCAGGGTTCAATTCTTGGCAGGGGTAAGAAACTTTTCTCTTCTGAATAGCATTCAACCCAGCTCCAGATCCCAACTGGCGCTCTTATCCAATGGGTACTGAGGGTTCTTTTCTCAGGAATAATGTGACCATGGTGTAAAGCTGACTGCTCACCTCCATCTACTGCTGAGGTCAATAATGATGGAGTTACACCTGCATTCCCCCATGCATCTTCATGGTGTGATGCATAATTGATTAAGTTCAGGGATAATTTCCCCACCCCCATTTTAAAGTTATTTATAGAGCAGCTGATAGTTGATCAAAATATTCCTTTCCTTTATGAGTCATATAGGTTCATCACCAAGGATTCCATTGGCCCTAGTCCTGAGCCAACTCAGTCCATTTCACATAATGAGCATGTACTTTTCTTTGTCAGTGTCAGTGAGTGAACCCTGTTTTCATGTCCTGTAATACACTCATTTTTGTATCTGTATGGGAAAAAACAGAGTACTAAAAACTTGAAGAAAACAGTCTTCTGGGATTTGGCACCGTGTATATGTGGTGTTAACCGACGTTTCGGAGGAACGTATCGCCTCCATCTTCAGGGTAGAAGAAAAAATAAAAGAAATCTGCAAGCTAAGAGACCGTGAGAACCGGTAAAAGCCAAAACGTCGGTTAATACCACATATACACGGTGCCAAATCCCAGAAGACTGCTTTCTTCATAGTCACCGCCGTGAAAGCCTCAAATCTTACATACTAAAAACTTCATTAGTATAAAGTGTAAGCATTCACGAAGCAAAATGTTATGATAGGACATACTCTGGATTAGAGTATATAGAATATATAAACATATGTATGTATGTGTGTGGTTCTACAGATTTGTATGCCAGGATCTACACGGATCTGTTGGCCATTCCGGTGATAAAAGGTCGCAAAACAGAAAAAGAGAAATTTGCTGGCGGAGACTTCACCACAACAGTTGAAGCCTATGTGGGAGCAAGTGGAAGGGCCATCCAAGGAGCAACCTCACATCATCTAGGCCAGAATTTCTCTAGAATGTTTGAAATTATGTATGAAGACCCTGAGACTCAAGAGAAAAAATATGTTTACCAGAATTCCTGGGGAATCACCACCAGAACTATTGGTATGTTCCAAGGCAACTTTATTATCATGCCAGCTACCTAATTTACAGGAGGGGGTGGGGAGTATAGCCGAACTTTATAAATAAAAGAACTTATATTTTTGTATGTAATTTTTATACATAATTCCATACAGCATGTTTTTATGACATTAGCTTTGAAAGACTGAGGAAAACAATGTGGATATGAATAGGACTCAAGAAAATTCACTCTCCTGCAGCGTTTTTCAGGCAGATATTTCTGTATTTACCACTGTCTTTGGGATTCACCCAGCCTCTATCTAATACTTGCTAGGAACATTTCACTTTGGATTAACTGGCCAGAGCATAAAGCTGATTACTTACGTACATCATGCTAAGGTTAAGAATACATATTTAGGTAGATTGACAACTTTACCTTACCCCCCCCCATATTATGTAACTGCCTGTGAGAGGAGCCCTGAATATTGTATTTTTTTTGTCCTTGGCGCTACAGCCCCAGTGGGCCTAGGCCTACCTCCATGAACTTCTCCGTTCACTTCGGTTTTTCTAGATCTTACACATTCGGTAGGACTCCTTGGGCGGGTGATCAGCTCATCACAAGGCCTCTACCTGTACACAAACACAGAAAAACACACACAAACATCCATGCCCTGAGTGGGATTCGAACCCACGATCCCGATTTCCAAGCAAGCAAAGGGAGTGCATGCCTTAGACCTCTCGGCTACCGTGACCGGCGAATATTGTATTTACTCATGTAAATTACTCCTCCCTCTCCCGCCTGTGAGAGAAGCCCTGAATATTGTATTTACTCATGTAAATTACCCCCTCCCCCAAATTTGAGGGGATATACTTTATTTTTATAATGTCCTCCCTTACTTTGTCATGGTATTTTATGTTTTATCATTGATTGTGCAAGAATTTTTTCAAGTCTGCCCTTCCCACTTCAGCGAATACTAACATCTGCATGAGCCTGTCACTGTTATAGTTAACTGTTAGTCTTCCAGAGTAAGTAAATGCTGATTTTAGGGAATTGCTGTATTATAATACACATGGGCACTTGTCATTTAGTCTTCCAGCAAATGGTAAAAGTTGCATGTATTTTCACTTTCTTGCCTTCTGTATGGAGGTCTGACATGGCATTGTCTGTAAGAGTTGCCGTGTGTGATTTCGTTGTGCTTTTGTGTGGGTATTGGGGAAGAGATGTCAAGCTCACTAAATAACTGAATAAACAACTGCAGAAGGTCTTGAGAGGGGATGAAATAGAGTAATGTCCTAGAAGTGCAATGGTAACATACTAGGAAAGCAATCTGCATTTTTTGAATGTTAAAAGTAGTGAGGAATTGGTGGGGAGGGATCTTAGGTAATTAAATATGGTATTTGTTTATGCAAGTTGTCTGTTCAAGGTCTTCCTTTTAAGTTTGTATGTTCTCAGTTTAAGACATTTTCATTTGTTGTGTGATCAAACTGCATAGAGAGGGTTACACTCTGACATAAATTCAAACCCCAATTAAACTTTGCACACATCTTGAATTCTAAACTGTTTACAGATCAAAACTAAACTTGAGCCTTTTTAATAATAATAATAATGTGTTAATTTCTAGCATATGACTTCTGTTAGTACCTCCCCCACCCCAAAGAGGCTGTATTACAGCTGCTATTATCCATACCTGCATTCCTATCCATACACAATAACTTAATTTCACCCTTTGTTCGTTCTGTGTTGCTTGTAGCAAATGTATACAGGGTGTCCCATGACTTTATATCAAAACTTCAGGAAATGATTCATGAGGTTATTGTGAGTGAAAAATTTTATATCAATGAGTCCTATTCCAAATGGTTTTGGAGCTGTGTTTATTTGAAATTTAGTATGTGTTCAAAGAGACATTCATAAAAAATTTCTGCAAAATGAACTGTTGGCCCTCTTAAGGGAATGTTCCTTTTCAAACACAATTGCAGATATACTTCTAGGATGATGGAGCACCCCCACACTTCAGCAGGAATGTAACATGGTATTTCATTGAACAATACCCTGGCTGATGGATCAGCCACAGCAGTATGCTGAATTAGCCACTGTATTCACTGGATCTTAGCCCCATGGACTACCATGTATGGGATCACATGATAAACATGGTGTAAATAAGCAAGATGGACATAAAAGATGAACTACTTCAGCATATGTTTGATGCCACAAGATATGTTGATAACACTGCAGTTCTTCATGAGGTTATACATTTTGTAGGGAAATGAACTAGGCCATGCCTCCAAGCTGACAGCAGGCATTTTGATTTACTTTGAGCTTCTATGTGGCTCATGTACAGTCTAATCATTTCATCTTTTTCCAAGTAAAAATCCCCCCCCCCATAACAGGTTTGTTCATGTCAAGCTACATTTCAAACACCCATAGTTCTCAAAGAAATTAATATAGGACCCATATTATAACATTTATTTCTCAGAATGCCCTCAAGAATCCCCTGCTGAACTTATAAAATCATGGGACACTGTGACATAGATCCATTGTTATTTCAACTTCGTAATGTAACAGTAACATTTCCACCCTCTTCTGCCTTCCCACAGCCTTTTCTCTTACATCTGTCTCTGTTTCATTCCCGTTCTGTCCATATTGCAATAGCAAATGATGCCTGTATTTATCCATAGGTGTGATGATCATGATTCATGCAGACAACCAAGGATTAGTACTGCCTCCAAGAGTTGCATGTTTCCAGGTATGATTGTTGGAACATTGTTGTCTCTTCATGAAAAATATGAAAGTTAAGAGAATTGGTGAATGCTTGCTACTATACAGTTCAGAATCTTGCCATCTCATATCTAAAAATTTTAAGATTAAAATTGACAAAATTATAAGTTTAGCTGTTGTTTTGTGTGGGTGTAAAACTAGGTCTGTCAGCCTAGGAAAAAACATAGTGGGCGTGTTTGAGAACAGGATGGTGGGAAGAATATTGGATCTAAGGGAGAGGAGGTAACAGTAATATAGAGAAAATTACTTATTCAGGAGCTTCATAATTGTACTCTTTACCATGTATTAGGGTGATAAAGTGAAAGAAATTATATAAGTAGAGAATGAGGAAATGAGAAGTGATACAAAGTTTTAATTAGGAAACCTGGAGGGAAAAGACCACGTGGCAAAGCGAGGCATAGAAGGGAAGATGTAGTGTGTGCAAAACATCTTTGAGAATTCACTGTGGCATATTTATGCCATGCAAGAAATGCCACAGAAATCTCTAAACACAGTGATTACACAACAATAAGAAAAGCAGTGTTTTCTCTGTGCCACACCTTGCTTGTTGCCACACAGCACTGCAGTAAACACATCTCGTCAGCAGCTAATCTACATGTTACTGAGCAATGCCTCTGCGGACATGACGATCATGCAGCAGTGGAGCAAGCTGTGTTTTCTGCTTGTCCAATCAAGGGTTTATAGGAGAGACTGGAATTCCTAAGAAGCCAGTTCTCGGAGTGAGCTCTCAAGAGTTAGTCAGTTCTCAGTATTTGAGTGTAAGTAAAGTAGAGTAAAGCTATCCCTGTAACAGGCTATGGAGGCCCATAGGGTTTTGAGATGTTGACGTTCCCGCATTTTCTAGACAATCGGCTCATAGATGGCGGAAAGGTTGTCAGCCTTATGCACCAGCCGCCTTTTACCCCAAAGAATATTCCTGGTACTCATTTCTGTTAGAGGCTGATTTGATCCCAGGACCATAGTGCAGCTGGAAGGATTAGGTCAATTAAAAAAAAATCCATTGACCTCATCGGTACTTGGACCTGCAACCTTTCGGCTTGTAGCATAGTGCCTCAACCAACTAAGCTACCGCATCAGTGTTTAAGTAACAGTGAAAGATGTTTTAAGTGACAGCCACGGGAAGTTCATAGGAGACCTGGGAAGACTTAAAATGTGATTTGAAGACTGTGTTTATGTGTAATACTGGAAATATGTGATCCTGTGAGACTGCTATAGTTTCTATGTTGAGACCTGTAAAGACTGCGAACTGCAGTATGCATGCAGCAGCGAATTATGAAGTGTGTGTAAATTAGTGGTAGCACTGTAATTAAATGTAATTAAGAGAGGTTGTAACCAAATTGCCAATTAATCCAATCATTCAAAGTAGAACCTGTCATTTCAGCATGCTTATTATCCTACATGTGACAGTGTCATGTTAGAAACTAACCAGATTCTGTTTATAACATAGGATGGGAAGCAAAATCACCATACCAGAGATCATGTGGAACACGTGAGACTTTTAGCCATAATTTTCCCTACCCATATTTCAGACAGATAATATTGGAGAAAAATAGAGTGTGGTGGACTAAATTCATACGGTTCAAAACAGGTCTTTTTCAACATGGTAATGAAGCTTCAAATTTTGCAAAGAGTGGGAATTTAACTAGCTGAGTGGCTGTTAGCTTCTTAAGATGGGCTGTGCTCTGTAGAGTTAGTTTTGATTTATTTCCTGGTGCTCTGTAGACTGCATTAGTCTTGAATGAGGCCAATTATGTGAATTTGGAAGGATGTCAAGTGTATCTTAACCCCAGAAATGCCAGATTTAATTTCCTCCAAGTCAAAGCACTGCAGAATTCATAGGTAAATAATAGTGTCACGTGTTTAGTGACTAGTCACTGGGTTTGGTCTTCTAACTGATTTATTGGACCCTTGAAACCTGTAAATACAGGTAATTTATAGTGCTGTGACATAATTCTCACACTCTGCAGCTCAATACGGCACACATTAAGTCTTCTCAGTCTGCTATGTCTTCATTATGCACTGCCTGGTAACAACTTCCATGTGCCACAGCTCCTGTCCTTGCTGGCTGGCACCTTATCTCGCAACTGAGTACTTACCTCACCGGGTTGAGTGATATAGCTTTTGCACAGACCATACACAAAACATCGTCTCCAACAGTTCTTCTGTTGTTGCATGCTTACCAAGNCACGGTGCCAAATCCCAGAAGACTGCTTTCTTCAGTTCTTCTGTTGTTGCATGCTTACCAAAGAGACATGTTTACTCAACCATTGACTCACAGCAGCAGTCTACATAGGGCAGTCAAAAAATTCCCGGAATTCCCCTGCAGATGGAGAACGAGCGATAAGATAGTGCGCACACTGTTGTGATGGGGAGCTCAGCATGTCTGCTCGCAGGCACAACAGGTCTTAACACGTTTCAGTGTGCAGTGTCATTACTGTTCTGTTTGAATTAGACGTGAGTGTTGGTCATTTGGCGCAGTGTCACAGTTCGAACAGCGTGTGAATATCAAGTTCATGTGAAAATTGGGAAAATCTGCTTCAGAGATGCTGTTGACCCTGCAGCAAGTTTACAGTGATATTGCACTAAATAAATCCGCAGTTTACAACTGGTTTTCCTGGTTTGAGAATGGGCAGGAGATGTTAGAGGATGACCAGCGCAGCGGGAGACCTTTGACATCCAGAACCGAAGAAATGATTGGAAAAGTGCGACAGCTGATTCAGTGATCGAAGAATGACCATCATGGAGTTGGAGCAATAAGTTGGTATCTCTCACGGATCCATTCATGCCAGTTTGTCCTATGATTTGAAGATGAGACGCATCAGTGCGAAGTTTGTTCCGAGGCAGCTGACCACGGATCAGATGGAATGTCGCATGTTGGTCGCTGGCGATCTTTTTGACAAAAGTACGCAGGACCCGACGTTTCTCAAAAAGATCGTCATTGGTGTTCGCCTACGACCCGGAGATGAAGATGCAGTCATCAGAGTGGCACACGTCATCATCTCCCTGGCCAAAAAATCACGCCTTGTCAGATTCAAGTGATGCTCATTGCATTCTTTGACATCAACGGTTTGGTGCACCATGAGTTCGTACCACCTGGGTAGACTGTTACTGACCATTTCTATGTGCAAGTTTTGCAGAGGTTGCGCATTGTGGTTCGAAGGAAGCGGGGCAACAAGTGGCAGGGACAGTGGTTTCTGCATCACGATAACGCACTGATTCACACATCGCTTGTTGTGCAGCAATTCCTTGCCGAGAAAAACATTCCTGTCATCACTCAACCACTGTACTCTCCGGAACTCACTCCAAGTGACTTTTGGCTGTTCCCTCCTCTGAAACTGGGCCTCAAAGGGACGTGTTTTGCAACCATGGAGGACATCAAATCGAATGCGATGGCTGAGCTCCGGAAGATTCCAAAAGAAGCCTTCCACTGCTGCCAGGATTGATGGAGCAAGTGTGTGCGCGTGCAGGGGTCCTACTTTGAAGATGATTCGGTTAGCGTTGCCCTATGTCCTACCATTAGAGTGCTATACCACCATTCTAGGAACTTTTTGACTGCCCCTCATATTCTGGCTCCACTTCTCTGGACTTTCAGCTGTCATGTTACACCTCCCAAGTACAAAGCTGGTAATCTCTTATATCACAATTTTTGGTTAGTATATTGTAACATGATGTCTGAAGTTCAGAATAGCTGGGTCAGAGAAGTGCCACAGAGACGTCCATTGCTAGGCATCGGCTTAGTAAACAAATTCTCATGGCCATACACAAACAGAATTGAGGAACTGTTGGAGGAAATGTTTTCTGTGCTGTCTGTCCTAAAGTTACACAGGGAGGACTGCATGCTGTGACACTACATGGCATGACATTACAGGTGGTAATTGTGCCTTGTGGCATAACAGCTAGTATGAAGGATATTGATCGGAAAGCTCTGATTGGATCCTGTGAAGAACTGGAGGCAACCCTGAAAGCTGCAGGGATCAGAGTGAAGGGTGACTACCGGGATAACTATTCCCCAGGGTGGAAATTCAACCATTGGGAACTCAAGGTAAGAAAGAGCACTGCATGCTTTCCATAATGTAAACAGAGGTTTGATGGGACCTTGTCACTTTCTTTCAGTCTGTCTTCTGGGATATAACACCATCTAGTCTGTCGAAAGTCAACCATCATTTTAGAGGAACATATTCCCTCCATCTTCAGGGCCAAGGAATAAGCCAAGCAAGAAACAGCATGAAGCAAGTAGCTTCAAATGCTAGTTGACTTTCAACAGATTACATGGCATTATATAGCAGAAGATAGATCCCTTCATAACCACCACTGTAAAAATCTCAAATCCAGCATATTCTTCTTGTTGTGTTTGCTTCCTTTCTCAGTGGCAGTGACATAAAGCTGGTGACAGTGTGAAGTGTACCTGCACTGCAAAGATCAAAGAACGACCTTCCCTGCAAGGAATGAAGATGGTGTACCATCATGTACACTGGCTGAGGGCAGTCTCTCCTCATTTACTTAAATTTCAGAGTGTTTGGCCTGCACAAATTTTAAGTTTGAGACCCTTAACCTATGGTCTGTAATTGTTTGTGCATCTTATCCATTTTATTGGCCTGAATAAACAGGAACTGAATATACAGACAACAGTGAAAATTAAAGCAGGCTGTTTACATTGAATTGTCTTCCTTTCCATTTCTACATCATACAGTTTCCATTTGTTATTGGTAATTTTACTTTGTTTTTCAGTCCATATTGTCAGGATGAGATATACTTTCCCACAAAGGAAAACTCTACTTGCCAGGTTTTAGCATAGCGACTGAGCTATGAGCTAGCCAACCAGAGAACTGTGGTTCAATTCCTTGCAAGGGCAAGAGATCTTTATCTTTTCTACAGTGCACAAACTGGTTCTGAGCATCCTATCCAATGGTGGTATTACAGTAGCTTTCCCTGGTCAGTAAAACCCCCCATCTAATGCCAAGATTATTGTGTGGCACTACACTTTCACTCCTCTGTGCCTTTTCCTTTACCTTTAGTGTAGAACAGATTGAGAAAATTCACGATTACTTTACACTATGGCTTGAAGATTTCAGAAACACACAGAATGCTGCATATGTTTGGCCCTTTGCTCATGTATATGGTTGTTTTTATCATCGTCACACTAACAGTGTTTTAAATTCTGGCAAAGAGGTTATAGCACTACAGTTTCCTGTTTGCAAGATCCAGCTTGTAAAATTCAACATGTTAATTGCTAGACCACCTGATGAACATGATGCACCAGCATTCATTTTTTTGTTCAGGGTGTACCAGTCCGAATAGAAGTGGGTCCTAAAGACATTAAAGAGAAGCAGGTGGTTGCAGTTCGCAGGGATACAGGAGAGAAGTTGACACTGCAGCGAGAGACGGCAGAAAGTGACATTTTGCAGCTGTTGGAAACCATCCACCATAATATGTTAGACAAGTGAGTATGTATTTTAAACTGCCAGTTCACTTTATCCCTTTTAGGATAGTGTCATATGCAGAGTGGTTGGCTACAGACTGGAGAGTTCCCAGCGGGGGCAGAATTTTTCTCATCACCACCATGTTCAGGCTTGTTCTGTGGCCAACCTAACCTCCTATGTGATTGTACTGGGAACTGTTTCACTGTAAATAAGTAGGAAGTGCGAAACTCACCACTTAGACCTCCATACCACCATATACATTCATGCCATGGTTAAATTTATCTCCACTCTTGTCCTCTTTTTAAGTCCAAATAGTTCCCTGAATACAGGTTACATTTATTATTCTTTAACTAACCTGCCTCTTTCACAATATGAATACAGTATCTGGTTTCTTGTTCCTCTGTGAATTCTCCAATTTTTCTTCGTGTTGACTTAATTTCTTTTCATCATGATACTTTCCTCAAATAAAAGAGTAAATAAGTTAAGAAACAGATTGTGAAAGTGTGAATTAACTCAGAATGAATTTATTTATGATCACAAGGTTTCAGGTTCTATGAAAGCTGGAAATTTCTTGATTGGCTGATTACCTAGCAGTTGCTCAAGGAAAACGATTAACCATATACCTACTGTATTTTCTCCCATAATTTCCGTATCCCTACTTTTGGACAAGATAATTGAGAGGAAGAAATGAAATACTGTATTTTAGCCGCCGCTTCTTCGCTAAACAGATACAAGTATAAGGAATTAATGGCAAAATTTGCAACTTTGTGTACTATCAGCCCCCAATTTATGTAAGGACATATGCCATTTGAAATAATGCAGATTATGCTTAATCAACTCGCAAGGTACAGACATGGTGACTCACCAATATCATTAGGCAGGTAGCTGGGCACAGGTTAGGGCACACACAATAGAAGAACTTGCAGACGTTGCCATCTTACACGTTTTGCTGCATGCCCATGCATTGTAGATTTTAACATTATAACATGAGTTACAGCTGAAATAAGCATGGGATAATCAAGAACAATGTGGCGGTGTCCATAGATGTGAATCCCTCACAGCCTGTGTACCCTTGTCCAATTTTTATAAGCTCAAAGCACNTCCACAACTTCTTGCTGTGAAACACAATGCTACTCCAAATTGTGCAAATCGTTGATGTAGACCGATTGTATGTGCGTGCTAGATCAGCCACGCTCACACCTCATTCTCGCTTTTCAGTGATTTTACGTTTCATTTCTACCGTTATTTTTATTCTCTTAAGGCTGTCTTTTTGAGGCTTTTTCTTCAGGGACATTTTTGCAAGGGTTATTAAACTTTGTACAAACAAAATCACAAATAATATGTCTGAACACAAGTTTGGAAAAATGTGTGATCACAAGCGACACTAAGCTGCTAGCGGAACGAGTGCTAAACACAGACTGACGTAGCAAGCGCACAATCCGGGACTTCCCTTCTCATCACTCATTATGCGAAACATCACTCGTTAAGCGAGTCATTTTTTTTTACAATTTGTTTTGCTCGTTATGCAAATTACTTGTTAAGCGAGGTTCGACTGTATTTTCTCCTTGTAGCCTACAAGATTTTTACATGCATGCACAATCGTTCAGTAACTGCTTATAACGCATGACCATCCAAATGTTCCACCCTTCTTTATTTCCTCTCGTGATCTTAATACTGATGTCTCCATCATTCCTGCTTCAACCTTCAGATTCCATAAAGTGATAGGAATTTCTTGAGCAGCTGAGCACAACTGTTAGCTTCTCAAGAAGAACTCATCTCCGCATATTTAGTCGCTCCTGGTTGTATAGATCCTGCCACCAAACTCAGGGGTGGCTACTGCCTGTTACTGTTTGATAGCATCAACATTCATTTGTTTCTCTTTATTTTGCTTTTCTGACTTACCTGTATCAACACTGGCTGATCCTGACTCAATAAAATTGGGCAGCACTTCTAGAAAATTGAAAGCAGGTAGATGTGGTGAAGCTGTCACGAATATAAAAGTGTTACTTGCTGTCTGCGTAAGTTACAGTGTTAATGATACTCTGGAAATAATGAGCAGCAATTTAGAAGTGTGTCAAATATGAGGAAGTTGTTTTTACACATCACCAGTTTCAAACACAATATTGGTGGTATAAATATGTAGAAGGTGTTATGGTAAGTGATTGTAAATGGATTTACTCTGTTCAGGGCAACAAAAGAACTGGAGTCTCATACTGTTGAATGCAGAGACTGGTCAGACTTCTGTGCTCAGTTAGAAAAAAGAAACATCATACTTGCTCCATTTTGTGGGTCCATCCCATGTGAGGATTACATCAAACAGGAAAGCGCCAGGTAAGAAATTTCAGTTTCATATGTCATATGTAACTGCAGGATACCTGTTGTCATTGAAGTTTCTTGCAGTCTTCTCGACATTTCCTCTCATTCAGAACTGGCAGTTGTGAGATCCATTCATTGTAATTTATAACATTTTGAAAGCACAGCAGATATAACATTTGAGACCAACATCAGTGGTCTAATTCAGCAAGTCAGTGATGTCATTCTTTATTTTTAATATGTTCCGTATTTCATAAGAAATGTATGATGTATGATATATAAGGACCGGATTTTTATGCCCTAATAATCCCTTAAATATGTATGCATTTATGCATGAAAAACATCCAAAATGTATACCAAATATTAAAATTGATTTTACATTATTTTAAGACCAACAAATCAATAGTTTATGTTATCACTGAATGATTCACTTGCAATAAAAAGGTATACTTAAATACAAATCATGCAGCAAAGCCAACATATTTCATTACAAATTTAAAAAAACCAATGCTACTCACATTTAGCTCTCTGAACTTTCAACTTCTCTTCTGTTGCAGTTCACAGTTACTAAATGCTTTAGGGTTTCCGTAGTTAGTCACCTCCTGTTGTCTCATAAGATGTCCTTATAGCATGAAAAACTTCTTTCCACCTCACAGAAACTTAGGGGCGCATGTACAAAAGCCACTATTTGCTCCACTGTTAGTGATTTTCTTACTTGTCAGTTCAGTACATTTACCGGCTAAAATTTCTTCAATTTCACAAATTTGTTCATATCCTGGATTTTTTGAAAGAATGCTCTGTACTTTTTCCTTTACTACTTCAACTCTTCCAGGAACCGAATTCAATTTGGAAACAGTGGTTTTGAACACACTTAACGACTGATACAAAGTAGTATTGCTATTGCTTGCCTCCAGTGAGGAAATGGTGGATGGAAGATAAGTGAGCAGATATATAGGAAAGATTAGTTTCTAGTTCTGTGTTTTTTAGTACATCTTGGGCAATTTGAATTGATGCTGCACTTTTGGGATCAAATGTATTCACAACATTCCTAACTGTTTCTAAACGTTCAGTATAATAACTCACTGCACACAGCCACGTGCCCCAGTTCATTAAAATTTGTTCTGGCGAAGTGGAACGCTTGGTGCTACTGCTTTAAAGGCTTCTTTTCTGTATGGCACTTTAACAAATACCTTCTTCACAAAAGACACCAACTTGTCAATAAGTGGAAAATTTGCATGAATTTTTTCTGCAACACGGTGCAACCCATGGGCAAGGCAAGTCAAATGTGTCATATTTGGAAATATAACTTTAAGAACAGTACCAGCTTTCATCATATAACTTGCGGCATCAGTCACAAAGAGCAATACGCGCTCGTACTGAATGCCATTTGGCCATAGTAAATTCATGGAGTTGATAAATATTTGGAAACTGCGGAGCTATTTGTGATTTCAAATTGCTCTACTGCAAGAAGATACGGGGCAGATTGTTCATTCTTAAGGGATCCAACTATACAATTTTCAATAAACCGTCCCTCACAATCTTGTGTTACGTTGATTGATAGCCACACAAAATTATATTGAATCTTATCTCTAATGCTTTCAATTGTAAGATCATAACATTGCTTCGCGTAATTTTTGCGCACAGTAGATTCATCTGGCACTTTGCACTGTGTATACTTCTCTATGAAATTTCTCAGAGTAGGATTTGTTAGTTTCCACAGCAGAATATCTACCGCTAAAAAGGCTTCGCATAAATCAAAGGAAAACTGTGAAAAACTATTATTAGAAAATTCACTAAGAAATTTTTGAACAGGAGCACTTTTTGTGGATTTAATTTTAATATTCTCTTTGTGTATATTAGTGTTCAAATGCTGAAGCACTTGAAAGCGTTTTTCACAACCGTTTTCTCACACGCTCGGCAATAAAGAATTTCGTTATCCATACTTATCATCTCTCCTTCGAACTCCCGCTGATACAGCTGTAATTTAGTTTTCTGAGTTACTTTCACTTTTGGCATGACTACAGAAATCTAAACGAACTTAACTATAGACTAGTCACCACTAATGTGAATGGCCCCCAGCTTCAAATGAAGAAGCGTAACGAACCTCTTGGAGACTTCGGAAATAAATAAGTGAAGTCCCTTATCGGTTGAATAGTATTACATTGATAGCGGCTACATGCGAACGCTTCTGACTAATCTGTTCGCAGCCACTTGATGGTACACGGATGAGGCAAGTTACGAGTAGAGGGATCGGGGAAGTCCCGTCCTGGGTATTGCATCAGAAACATGAATCATGACGAAATGTTGAGTCAAATATGCAACATATTCTAATACAGAAAAGAAATTCTGTATACCCAAAACCATGATTGAAAATCTGAAAATAAAATTAAAAAATATATATGATAAACATTTTAAAAAGGAAATATGCAGTATAAATAGAGATCTTCGAAAATATGATGCTTATTCATAAAACAGGCAAAATATGCATTTATATGCACCATCAAACCATGTCCAAAATTTAAGAAATTAAGTAATTCATACATATATCCAAATGAGCATGCTTTCTGTTTGCAAGAAAGAAATATGCATTTGCATTAAAATCCGGTCCCTAATGTTCTGTCTCCCCATGTACCAGTGATAGATTATGTACCACTTAGCTAGTTTACATGAGAACAAATACAGAGGTAAAGGTAGAGTTTCCCCTTTGCTTAACTAATTAAGCACTATGCCATGAAGGTGTATGGGTATTGCATAGGAGGCTGGGTGACCCCAGAGCTGTTCTGGATGATGTGGAGAGGAGAAAATTCTTGGCCCTATCAGGACTCAAACTCCAACCCACCAGTCCAGACCATAGCCAGTCACAATACCGACTGCAATATCCCAGCTCCAGTTAAAAGCCTGGTACCAGCACAAATTAAAGGCATCTGAAACATTTTGAAATATTTATTTGTGGTAGCTGGCCCCATTTATTTTCTAATGGATTTTCTTTGGCCCAACCCATTCAAGAAGTGCTTACAGCGGTGCAATAATGGCAAGATGGCCAACAGAGGGAACGTACATATAGCTGGAGTTCAGCATTCTCAATATTTGCAGCAGCCACAGAGGAGAAGCAAACGGCCCCATTCTGTAACTATCAGGATAACAGCCTGCCAAGTGCCTTAGTCATCTAAGTTATATTTACTTTGCAGGGAGGAGTCAGAACCTGGAGCACCATCAATGGGTGCAAAAAGTTTGTGCACCCCTTTTGTGCAGACTACAGCCATCCAGAGTACGGATAAATGTATCAATCCTACCTGCAGCAACAAGCCACAGAGTTACACCCTCTTTGGGAGGAGCTATTGAGTGACAAACTTTACTTTAAATGGGTCACATGAGACATCATTCAAGGTGACAACTGTAATTAGTCTTGTACCAGAGTGCTGATAAAATCTGATTCCATTTATCCTGTTAAGATTATTGCACCATATAATTTGACACAAGTAAATGCAGGAGAATATTTAAGGGAAGATATGAATATGTGAAAAGATGAAAATAAATAGAGATTTTTGTCTTCTTCAGCATCTGAAAACCAATAGTAATCACAAAACTGCATATAAAGTAAATACTTCACTACTTTTCACTCAGTATGGTTGTTTGGAGGTTGAAACTGACATGACATATATACAACTTAATTGCAGAGCCTTATGGGAAGATACAACCTGAAAGACAGAACATTGATGACAGGTTAATATTTTAGATTACTGATCCCCAAGCTGGGTTGACACCCCCCTGATGAAGCACTGTGAGAAAAATAACGAACGTTTAATGTCGAACTCAGTTTAAATACTCAGTTCCTTTACATGGTTTTTAGTCTTTGTTGGTACTGCTGATCACAAAATAAAGTGCACTGTGCAGCATTTTCATCTTAAAAATTCTGTTACTCATTTTTGGTTATGGGGCACTAGGGCAGCCATACAACAATTTCCCTCTTTTTTGGGGGGGGAGGTATGAAACTTTACTGAACAGTATGTCATTGTGCAGTGCTTGTTACTATAGTGTCAGTCTGACACTGTTTTTATTCACATTATTTAAGAAGGCTTAAAATATTTTCACATTGTTCAGGGGTGCTACAGCCATGTACAGAAGTTACTATTTCCCTTCATTTTTAGATGGAAACTACTACAAACACATGAGGCCCTTGAAATAAATGTATCTGCATGTCACATAGCCAGCTCAGTGCTGTAGTAACAAACAGCAGCTTGTAAATTCTATCCCTTGATGAATATAAAATCATTAAACCAGTGAAAAAGAAATAAATAAAATCTTGTTTAATATTTTTATACAGATTTTTCAGTTTTCACCATATGCACCAGACACATGGGTAAATAGTTACAAGTCAGTAGTTGATCATTTTGATATGAACATGAGTGTAATGGCTTACATTTATTTTGGTCAAAAGTAATGGGGGGAGGATGAGGGTTCGATGAATGCCAGAAGAGGGACATCATATCAGAAAGCTTGGGAACGACTGTTTTAGGATTGTATCGTGACAGAGATAAGTCGTTAGGTTACATTACTGAGAGTTTTTTGGTTAGGGAAGTGCATGTTGCCTGTTCAATGTATACCCTACACCAGGGGCTTGGTTGATTGGGGTCACAGCAATTAGGCTGTGTAATGTAGAGTCTAAGGTCAGTAATCATAACACAGTATGAAGTTATAATGAAAACAGTAATAACCGCATGCAATTTTCAGCTTTAGAGAACCATGGCAGATTACTGGCATTATCTCCATGAATTTATATACAAAATGAATAAATAAATCTGGCTACCTCTTTAACCTTTATTTAAATATTTGTCTGAATTTCTTGAAATCACAGTTATGTTCATATTCATTTTCAGTCCATATTTCATTATAATAAAAGGTCCCAGTGATTTAATAATTTCAGTTTCCTTCTCTTCTGCCCCTCAGATCAACACGGTCATCTGACTTACATCTTTTCTTCTCTCATCTTAACACTATTACGAATTTCATCCATCACAGCATTAAAACAGGATCATTGAAAGGACACTTCCATGACTCTTTCAATTGTTTTTAAGTAACCTGATGGTCCTAATTTTGTCTTTTTAACACAATATGTAGAATCAAATGTTCGCTTCACTCTTTCTGTAACATATTCTTCTACTTCCTGTCTTAAGCTTGACCAAATTTTTCTCTTTCAATACTGTCATATGCTTTTTCAAAATTTATAAATACTGTTGCCCTATCCTTGCCAAATTCCAAATATTTCTGAATTGCCTCATTATTAAGGCTGAATTTGTTGTGGATCCTTCTCAGTGAATGATATATTTGTCCTCACTGAGTGTTACTTTATATTTGTTTTCATTAAAAGTTCTCTCATAAATTTCATAACAGTGACTAAGAAGTACTATCCCTCTACATTACTGGGGATGTCAGTTCCTGTACTTGGATAGAAAACCACATAAATTTCTATAACAGATATTTATTGCTGTTAGAAGGAGAGTATACAGATGAGCAGGCACTCAGAGTGTGCAGTAACTGGTGAGGTATGGCCGTAACTCTAAGGCAGGACATGCTTGGTGAATGCCGGCGAAGCTCCGGCCATAGGACAGTAAGTGCTGGCAGTGGATTTCCCAATGAGTCTAGGCGACTACTCTTGGAGTCAGCTGATGATGTTGCTGGTAGGCGACTCACTGTTGCTGTGCATGCTATAGATGAACTGTCTCGAGGTAAGAGTAGCTCCGACTGACCAGCTAGCATGTCGGAGATCCACATCTTTATCCACTGTAGCTAGCAGCAGCACCCAACCCAATGGGCATTGCCGTTAGTGTAGTCCATGCTGATTGGCTAGAATTGTGGTTGGCTCCCACATCACCCCCCCACAGAGATGGTTGCTGAGATATTGAAGCGAGCGGGGAAATAGATGTGTTTCTTGTGCCCTTTTTACATACTTTTATTATAATAATCCTCAAATCATTTGGAATCATTTTGTTCCCAAATAACCCTCATGGCTTCATACATCCACTGCATTTCTGTTGGCTGTACTGTTCTTATTGCATCTTCTGTCACTTCTTCATTTTGAATTGGCAATCTTAGTATCCATATCTGTTTGTACTTGCTTCTTCCTGTGTAATTAGTTACTTTGGTGATACATATAAGATCTGCATTTAGGTTTCTCAAAGCATACCTTCCATGTTTCTGATATCCTTCTACCATATTGAAGCCCCATTCATATTAATCTTAGTTTATTAGTCTTATCAGTATCTCTTATATTTCATTCATTTACATTTATTTTTCAACAACACATTTTTATTTTCCCTGTGATGTTCCTCTAAGTATTTAGTAAATTTACTCCAAAGCATTATAGCCCATTTTATCATATATATGGTTGCTCTTCCACCTTTCTGTCCCCATATTTCTGTATCTGAGTAATGTTTACCATGCATCATTCCTTATGTTTCTGACTATCATTCCACCAAGGTGTTATACTCCCACCTCATGAATTCATGCAGCCATCATGTTCTTATTACCAATTGTATGAAATTTGGGGTGGTCTCCACTGACATAATGATCATATCAAATTTTGTCACAGTCCAAGAGTCCTCAAATTGAAACTTGTGGGCAGACGCATTTAACCATCCCTGTATGTGCTCCTTTCTTGCACACTGCTCAGAAAACACATAGTAACTGGTCAAGAAAAGTCTATTTATTCCACATAACTTTACATTGCACCATTTTACCTAAACAACAAGAATGAGATTCAACATACATTTATTAGCTTACTCAAACAAAACAAGCATACAAAACTTCATTAGTTCCAGAACAGGTATCCATATACTCGGCTGTTAATCTAATGATGTAGGCAGGAGCAAGTGAAGTGTAAGTTTGCAGATGTGAAAACAATGTCTGATGTTTTCATATATGCAGAGAGGCACAGCTTGGGTCAGGTAAATAATATCGGCCATTCATATCACATGTAGAGTTATTATCATCATTACTACGCTTATGACAGTTGTAGGTTTCTCAGCGACTTAATTTCTGTAGCTATGATATTTTCATTTACCTTTCTTTTCTACTCTCTTTCTGCTGCATGTGTAAACATCAGATTAAAATATTACTCCAAATGATAGGTAATTCATTTTAATTAACCACTTAAATTTTCAGGCTATCTAACATAGTCACTCTTATTCCTTCCCTCTTTACTCAGAAAATAAAAGATGTGTTTACAATTTATTAAGGTTGCTTTACAATAGATAAAGTCCTTAATTTTAAAATGAAAGCACACTTTTAGTCAAATATTGTAATAAGCTATGAACTGCACACAAACAATTCCATACTGTAAAATTCAACATGAAATATAAATTATACCACACAATGGGATGTTCACTTATGCACTTACATATTCTGTACTTTCATTGGTGTTCAGATTCAGCTCTTTTCTTCTCAGAAGGATATTCTGTTTGTCTTTTGGAGGTTTCATTTTGTTGCTTACTGATCCGTACATGTTCATCCACAACTAGCTTTCTCAGCTCATCCTAATAAGAAAGACAAAACCAATAATTTTACCAAACCACCTCTGGGATAGGAGTGACAACAGTGCAATTTAATGACACTACCTAACATTTCAGATGGTTGCTTAAAGGGCTTAAAAGCTTTCCCTTGCCTAACTGAAAATTCGTCCCATAAAGCCCCTGAAACAACTACACTATTGTTGTTTTTACAACTCTAATTTTTAACCACTTAACAATGAGAAAAATTAGAACTTCTCTACACTGTCACTGAGCCTTGTCTGCAGTAGAACAATAACTGTAGATCTATCTCCTACCTTTACACATCAACTGACAACATTTTGTTCCCCCCCCCCCCCCCTTCTTGGATGGGTATACAGATGACATACGTAAAAACAGTTAAAAGGTTTTACCAACATACAGCTGGGATAGCTCTGTCATTATAGCAATGGGCTATAAGCTGGGGTTGAATTCCCAGCAAGGGCATCCAGACTAGCTAAGGGGTACAGGGGTGTGAAGCTGACCACTCACCTCCACCTAGTGCCAAGGTCAATAGTGATGGGGCTATATCCCAATATGTCTCACTGATGTTGTGTCTAATTAATTAAGTAAAGGGACAACTTCACCTTTACTAATGGAAAATTAAAAAAAATAGATGGAACTCAAATGACTTGTAAATTTATGCTCACCAGCTCATAAAATCAGTTCATTTTATGTGCACAAGTGACCATATTTTTAAGGACTGGTTTACTCAGCCCTTAAAAAAATGCCACATTTTATGTGTGAAATGTAAAATAACACAGTGACTGCAAAATATTCAGCTTCCAAATTTAAAGGCCCAGTTAAACGATCACTACGGCCAGACATTGTCATATCATAAACATGGCTACAGATTGTATATAAAGTTCTCCTTTTCCCATGTTAAAAAGTTACAAGACAGTGCCATAAAAATCTTAAATTATGTCTGACAATTTTAAGTCACTGGCAAGTAAGTAATGAAAATTATGCACAAAATTAGATAATTCAGATGTATTATTATTCCTTTACATGCCTACTAGCCTCCTGTGTAAATAGATACACTTGAAGGAAACCATGAATCATAAGTTCCTTCAGTGCCTAAAGCATGGCAGCAGTAGGTACAGAAATAAAATTTGATAAATGTCTCATCAGAACTCTTCTCCATAATGTCCTGACTGGCTCAAGGGCAGGTGGGCAGTGGTGTGAAGCTCACCACTCACCTCCATCTAGTGCCAAGGTAAGAATGGTGCAGAGATGGCTTGGAGGTGCAGTGCCATCATTCTCAACCTTGGCTACAGATGGAGGTGAGTGGTGAGTTTCATGCCCTGACCACCTTTTCTCCAGGGGAAAATTCCCTGGTACCCACTGAATAAGAGGCTGGGTATGCTCCAGAGCCAGTCTGGGGTGCTTCAGAGAAGAGAAAAATCTCTTGCCCCAGCCAGGAATGGAACCCTTATTCCTCAGATATCCAGCGCATAGCTCTATGCCAACTCANGGTTAGAGCATGAATCCGGTTTCTTTATTGCCACACCTTGTATAGTCTGAACGAAATCATGCACCAAGCAGCCCAACAAGTTTATCAAGATTTCTGACTATAAGTCCACTTGAGAAAATTTTAAAACTGCTTCTTCAGGATTTATCTTTTTATATGCCTCTTGTATTTACATGTATGCACTGTGTCATCCTCTGAGGCTCTCACATTTTAATGATGTTAATGGAGGTTGTGGGGAGAAAACAAGAAGAGAACAAATTAGGAATGAGACCGTCAGAGGAATTAGGAGTTTGCAGATGCTTAACGTTAAAAGACAGAAAGGTTATAGTAATTGGTTATGACATATTAAAAGAATGGGTATAAACAAAATATGTATAAGATCACTGCAATTACATGTGAAGGAAAAATATTCAAAGAATGATGCAGATAATGTCTTATGCAAGGGACATTATGGTGGAGGCAAACTTCAACAGAAGGGAAGATACTTGTACAGTTTTCATCCACTTATTTACCCCCTTTATGAAAATGATACCACAGGAAGTGACATAGATGACTCAGACTGAGAGGTCCATAAGCTACAGATCTTATAGTATATAACATCTGTCAATTGTACAACTCACCCCCCAACCAAGTTTATCTGCCAGCATCTGACATCCTTCATCACAACTTCCTAGCCATGCAACATCTCTGAAGTTGTCACGGGAGTCAAAGTCCAAACCACGTCCCATTTGCAATGCTGCCATCACCCAGTCTCTGTGACCAGCCCTCTCACGATTAATCAGCAAACGCGGACACACTTTTGGCACTCTGTTCCAAATTAGAGCAGATAAAAATAATACATAAAATCAAAAGTATGTAATTATAACAGTGAAACTCTTATATGGAAGAAGCTTTTTCAGAAAAACTGAATGCATATAAGGAATCACATATCAAAAACTGTGAAATAAACTAAGTTTAAATACAAATGTTAAAATACTTTTAATGTATAATCTCATAACTTTAATTGCGTAAAGGTAAGGGATATTGGGGACACAGTGCCACAGAATGGATATTCTGTAGAATGTATAAAATCTGTGCTGCCAAAAGAGAAAAGGGGTTTTTTTTTCTAATAATAACTACACAGTAAAGTCTGCATGAGCAGAACCTTAACTGTCCTGTCAGTACAGTCAAAACCAAAGTAAATGTACCTATAATGAGTTAACTATTAAAGGCACAAAACCAAAAGCGAAGCACAAATTACTGGAAAACAGCTGGCATGAATATTTATTGTTTTGCATTAAAATGATCTTGTCCTGTATTATGCTTCAGGAAAAATATGTGGGAAGAAACATTCCTGTCGTATGAGAGAAACACAAATGAAAAGTACAAGTTTCCTTTCCAATATGCATATTCCAAATGCCAAGGGAAACTTCACAGCTGAAGAACAGTAAAGCCTATTATACTGACCAAGGTGACAGCCTGGACCACAGTTACATCATATAAAGTTTCACACAGTCTACAAGTCCCCCTTCTCTCTCTCTCTCTCTCTCTCTCTCTGTGCACTTGCGGGCAGGTGCAGTCCAGTGTAGTGCAGTATAATGTAACTGCATCTTTCATAACGAGGTTCTACAGTTCATGAAGCAATATATGACTTATAATTAGGAAGTGACTGAGGAATAAGGGGAGTATAGCTTTGCCAGGCATCAAAGGAGAAAGATACCAGCATGGAAGCAAGCTTTCCTGTTTGTGTCTTGCTCAGCTTATTTTTCAATCCTGAAGATGGAGGAGATATGTTCGTCCGAAACGTCCATTGACTTTCAACAGACTACATTGCGTTATATTCCAAAAGAGAGTACTCTTCATAAGCACCGTTGTGTGAACCTCATATCCTACACAGTGATGTCCTGGCTGAGATCTGAACTGAGCACGTACCTCCTAAATACATGTCTTAAAGCACTACTGCTAGACCAACCTGCTCGGTTCCAATGTACTTGCAATGAAGATGAATTTTTTTTTGTATGGTGCAAACAAAACTTTAAATTCTGTCCAACTCTGAGAGGAACTTTGTCTTGTGTTTTACCATTGTCAGAACCCTTTAGAATCTGCTTATGATATTCTGTTTTTGTAACTTAAGTCTTATGCATAGAGAACATGATTATGGTTTTAGATTGTGTAATATAAGCTCCAGAAATAACATTCTGGTGGGTGATGGTATAAACCTGTGAATTGCTGGATGGAATTTCATTCCCTTGTTTATAATATTAGTGAACTGTTGATATGATAGTGTAATGAAGATACTGTGACATAATGATGGTACAGTTTAACAAGAGAAGTCACCTGCTGCTACACAGCGGCCGGTAACCAATGTGACAGCTGGTTTCTGCTGCAACAAGTATGCACACAACAAGAAAGAAATAGCTGGGAATGGTGTTTTCTACTGTGTCTCCCCCGAGGCTATAAAGCAAGCACAAACTACACTACTTATCCAGTCAAGAATGTGACGAGTTTTCATCATGGGTTAACTGTGGGAGTCACCAGCCAGCAAGGACAGTAGCCGTGGAACATGGAAACTGTGGAATCTACCCTGTTGGAACCATAACCTAGTAACGGCTAATGAAGACAAACTGAGAAGCATTAGCATATGTTGTAGTGAACTGAAAAGTGTGTAGATTAATGGTAGCAATATAATGACTTGTAGTTATGTGTTGAATAAAGCCAATAACCAATCGAAATCCCCTGTCTAATCACTAAACATATGACAATATTGTGACATGTTGTGCAACGGAGAACCCCTCCCCAGCGGTACGTGGCGGCATCGTAGCGCTGTCGTTACTCCCCGCGGTGACATAACACGCAACGCAGCTCTGACACGGGTAACAGGCAACAGCGGTACCCATTGTGTAACAGGCGGGCACTGCAACTATATAAGAGAGCTACACTGCCTACGAAGACAGTTGAGTTGAAATGTGGCCGTCGCCGAGTTCAGTTGTTACAGTGAGTTAAAGTGTATCAGCGGCCGAAGACAGTTCTCCAGTCAGCAGTGAACGAGTTAAAGTGTATCAGCTGCTGAAGTGAGTTCTCCAGTCAGCAGTGAACGAGTTAATGTGTGTTAAGGAGTGGCGCCGTGAAATATAGCAGCCGCCGAAGACAGTGAGTGTGTGATACAGGGACACTTACATAGCTCCCATACTGCAAATACGTGTAGACTACCCTACAGAGTGAATTGATTATTGCAAATAGGGTTATAAAGTGTGAAACCCCGAAACAGTGTTGTAATCAATTGTAGCCGAGAATTGTAGGTTGTTAAATAAACCCATTAACAATCTGAACGGCGTCTTCAGTAACGAAACACGTTACACTGGTGTCAGAAGTGGGATTGGACTTACACACGTGATCGACAGGATTCGAACTCAAGACACGTTACATTTAGTCCTGTGTAATGTGTCTTGAGTTCGAATCCTGTCGATCATGTGTGTAAGTCAATCCCACTTCTGACACCAGTGGCCGTTACAATATCATAGCCAACAACACTGGTATTGTGTCGTGTCATGTCATGTATGATGGTAAAAAGGTAATACACAATCTACATACTACAATATTGGAAAGTTTACCTGTCTATTAATGATGCAAATGGCTGTACAGTAAGAGATGAACCTAAGATGATTAGCAAATCACATTTGGGAAAATCTTTTTCAGCACAGACAAAGAAACGTGTTGGTAAATCTTCTCCAAAGAAGACTATATCTGGCTTTACAACACCATCACACTTCTCACAAGTGGGAACTGAATCTGAGAATATTCGCTCTGAAAGAAAACCAACAGAGGTGTTATGTTTTCTTAAAATAAAATATTTCACCAAAGAGACAGGAAAAAGTATTTTTGCCCCCACATCTTAATGACAGTAAAAATTAAAGGTTTTGCATACTCAATGCTTTCCTTTAGTCTGCACATCAAAAGTTGATTCCACCATACAACTGTCTCCAAAATAAACCAGATGATTACTAAATTATTTCTTGACCATGCAAGAAGATAAGACTGATTATCACCAAATTTATTACAACAGTCCTTCACTTTCTCCATTTTACCTCACACACTACTATGTATTGCTGTAGCTACAGACACGCATAAGTCTCATGTGCGCTCGGACAAATTATCCTTGATCCAACAAATAATGTTTGCAGGCAAGCAGTCTGAGTTCCTGAATATGCAGAAACAAATTCCATTTCTAGGAACAGCAGCTTATGTTTTTCATGCTTACATTTTGCCATACTTCAATATATTATTTTTTTCACAAGCCAATCACGTCTTTGAACTAATCACATAATACAAGGAGGATTTTTACTTTCATGACCGGTTCCATGGCTCGGTGCTTCACAGCAGCCAGTGCATCGCTTGCTGCAAGGCGCATACAAATTCTGCTGATGACTCAACATGCCTGATAGCCAGTAACATTTGCAATGAAGGGAAGTTCTTACCTCTGTTCACAGGTCACAGGAGGTGCTGAAAGTACTCTCCCTCTATACACGCACATTCCATGCACCAGCGGAAGATGTTCTTCAAGAATATTTGCAATTTCCTTATGAATATTTCTTCTAGTTCTTCAGTTCAGGGGTTACCATTGTGAACTTTGTCCTTCAAACAACCCCAAGAGAAAAAATCACAGGGATTGAGATCAGGTGAACATGCTGACCAAATATCACTGCTGATAATTCTGTTCCCGAAAACATCGGACAAAGCCTGCATACATATATATATGCAGAGTGATCTCACCTTTAACAACATACTGTAGAAACCAAGTGCAAAAATAACCCTGCTAGCTGGATCATGCGGATGCAAGGCGTGCATGGATTAATGTTGTCTTATAGGGTCTGAGCACCAGCAATTGTGTCGCCATTCTTGCACTAGACTTTGACGTTCCAGTCTCTTGAGCTAGACATTTCAGTGATTTTCTATGTGTATGCTCAACTCTGGCCCCTATGTCATTTAACTGCTCCTCAGTAAGCACTAGGTACTTATGTTTTTGTCCCATTGTTCTAAGTTTATTCAGCAAATTGTGACCTGTCTGCAGGGGACTCTTTCATTACAAAATTTATGTCAAAATTTTCACAAACACTTTCTAGCTGATCTGTATTTTACATAGGTCTCATACAGAAATACACACTGCTCTAAAGGATACCACACCATAACATAACACACTGCTCACTAACTGTAACAGAGAACAAATAGCTAATGGAGCTGATAACTGCAGCCTACTGCTGACAAATCATAAACTCCCATGCATGAACTGCACTGCTTGCTGTGAAATATAATGCCATCAAGAAATCCACAAGTTAATTACTTCCCTTCATTCCAAACATCAGCCATCAGGCATACTGATTCGTTGGCAAAATTTGTATGTGCCTCGTGACAAGTGGTGCTCCAATTGTCATGAAGTGCAGAGCTGTGAACAGGTCAACAAAATTAAACTTTCTGTATATTCATAATGTGAATTTAAAAGATTTTGTATTTATAGAACCCAGCTTCAGAAAGACATAATTCAAATCTCATGATTCATTTGCAACTCTCTCTCTTGTAACAAACAGCAACAAAATCATAAATTTATGACTCACTTCAGTATTGTCATTTGTTCTCAGTAGATCAGTCTAAACAGTGACCTCATGAATAAGAAGTTAATACAGTTGTCAGTGTGTTTGAAACCATAAAGCTGATAAGCTGTTCACAAAATATTATCATTGCCCCTTGTGAAACAAAGGAATTTTTACTGATTTTGACCTTTCATGGTAGTTAATTACTGATTTTAATTCTATTCCTAGATTGCTACACCATGTGACATGGGTTTTGTTACTAACATTTCAACCATGAAGGTGGATGCAGCATGAACCTCTAAAATGTTGGCAATACTGACCACATCCATTCACATCAATGAAGTCCCCCCCCCCAGTTTTTAATGACTCAGTCAGCCCATGGACTTGCTGACATTCATAAAAGGTATGTCTTTAAACAAATAGATCAGAAACAATGCCACCATAGCCAAGCTCATAAAAATATTTATTGTGTACTGTTTCTTTGCCAAATGAAACAAACTGGACTTCTCAAAGTACCAACAGGCCAAGTGTTTGTTCTATTCCAATTTATTTTGAGTGCAGCAGTACCAAACTTATCATTGACTCTTATCAGGAGCTATGAATCATACTAACTCTACTACCATGAATGATTTTTTGGACATTCTCCAGCATCTTGTTTTTATTTAAAATATTTTGGAGACTGGAAACTGTCTCTATCCTCAGGTAAAGAGCCTGCTCAGCTGGGCCCAGTCACTATAACTAGTCCCTATCTCCAGATCTCGAGGCAGATTCCAGTTTCTGAAAAGTTGCCTTAAATAAAAACAGGACAGTGGATAATGTCCAAAAAGTCATTCACTGTATCAATATACCATCATCAGAAGCTATTAGATCTTAGTATCCCTACTGCTTATCAGTTCTGCTGACTAATGTGCCACATGCCAGTCTATAGCCATAAATAGTCTTAACCAGTTTGACACTGAAAATGTACTTATGTTCTGAAGAGAACCCCTAGAAATGCAAGTTCTGAGTATTAAAGTACACTGGGGTAAAATAAAGACTAGGAAATCATTCAAACCAGAGGATACAGNATTTGACGGAAGGAACTTGATTGTTAATTTGTTAGTGTGACGGACCGGAATGAAAGACCTTAAAGTTCTTTNGTAAGTAAATATGGCTCATGACAAACTGTACAAGTGACTGGAATACTTTTATCTCCCTATATGAGGTCTGACAATAAAGTTCGCGCACTCGCCACCGTGTACTTGCCATGGCAGCAGTGGACAGAAACTCAATATGGATTGATGACACTGGCATACTAAGTTTACTATTTGGAAGTACTGAAAAGGCTGCATGAAAACGTTAGACAGAAACAACCCAAACTTTTTGCCAGCAGCTCATGGATCTTGCATGACGACAATGCACCTGCTCACGCGGCACTGTCTGTGAGGGAGTTTTAGCCAGTAAACAAATAACTGTGCTGGAACATCCTCCCTGTTCACCGAACTAGCCCCCAGTGACTGTTTTTTGTTCCCAAAGATAAAGGAAATCTTGAAAAGAAGGCATTTTGATGAACTAGGCGCTTGCATCGGTGCATAACTTCCCAAAGGGAGTACTTTGAAGGCAACCTCAGTGATATTCAGTAATGAGGTATGTAGCATTTTTACCACAATAAGACTGCAAACTTTATAGTCAGACCATGTATCACCGATATTTAATAGATCTACCTTTCATCCAATCAACTGTATATTCATGTTTACATTCAAGACAATGGGAAGTATGGAATGTTCCATGAGCCTCCACAATCTTCTCAGCAGGTAGCCCCGCCACTCGTTCCAGCGTGTCAATGTTCTGTTTCTCATAAAGAAAAATTAATGTTAATGAATATTAATGAATGAATTAAGTAAAGACTGTTAATAGTTCACAATATAAAACTTTAATAACCTGGGTATAATGGCGAAGTAGCAGCCCCTTCTCATTTAATAGTCGTATAAAATAGTGGCACAAAGTTGGCTTGAAAGAACCAGGGTACAGTTCCTTTGCAAGAGTGAAGAATGGCTGTGGATTTTGTCGGAAGAAGCCTATCTCAAAGATTGCCTGTGGGTCAGGTAATTTGTACTTCTGCAAGTTGCTGTAAAGACCACATCCTGGGGAACGGAAATCAGGAATACCGGCAGCTACATAATAAAAGAAAAGGTAATGTTAAAAACTATTATGCTATTTTAGATTCTCTGTAGGTCCTTCTTCACCTTCATAGGAATGCAGGAGGAATGAAGCAACAAAACTGTCATTATTTGATATCACTTCCACAAGATGGCAACGATATCTTCCACTACACAAGGCTTTGACAAAATCATAACATTTCCCCACCAAACTAAGTACAGCAAAAGCTGCAATATCCAGTACTGGATGACTCAGAAAGCTCTATTAACCAGAAACTGCCCAATTATGGATAGAGTGAGATATTGATATCTTGTTGGTCTTTTAAATTGTATATACATGTTATATAAGTAGTGATGAAAAGGAAATAAGTGTGGCAGGGAAAATGATGAGATATCAAGTGAAAAAATGAGTGACAGGGTCTATCCATGAGGTTCACTGAGATACACACTAACATCTGGCAACCCTTTGTTCCCAAAGGTGCCAGATGTCATAACTTTTACTGTAGCTGCACTGTACATTCAATAATATGCCTGTCATATGGACTTGGTTCAGATACAAGTTTAGTCAACCTCTTTTATGAAAAACAACCTGTACTTGTGTTGATCAGAAATTTGAAGAAAGAATTAGCTTGCTATGTTTGTATGGCATCCACCTAGTTCAGAGCAGTGTCTAGGGATATCAAATGTTACTTTGGAACCTGGAAAGAGTTATTATTTTTGTTTATTGCAATTTTGTTGTCACTTAGAATGCTATATAAGGTTGTGGTAAATAAAAAGGACATGGCCTCTCTACTTCGGTGATACTAACCCAACCCATCTTCAGTTTCATTGGAACTGGAACACAGTTGCTGATCAATAGATCTACACCTGGAAAAACTTTCATTTAGTTTCTTAAGAGGCATTCAAAACTGGTCTTCTGTACTACTAAAATAAGAAACATGTTTTATGCACAATGTTGCTTAGACACTTGTGTATCACACACTCATATTAAACAACAATGTCTAATTATACATGTTGGCGATATTCAGTATTTTAGAAATGCAAAATTTCTGCAAGTAGGCAAATTCTAAATTAACTGATTGGCTACTAAACTGTCATTTTATAGCCAGCATAATTTGCCTGGAACATCAACATTATAGTGTGTCAAATGGCTATTCAAAAATATTCACTGTGACTGTGAGAATTCAGGGCTACTTCATTTGGGCAAGTTTCATTTCATTTATTCACCTTCCATAAATCCTATCGAGAGTACATTCTCATGCGGATGTGGAGATCGTCCTAGTTACAGTCACAACTAAGAATTACAGTTTTCAACCAATAGTATACACATAATATAATACTGATAAATGTATACAATATAATAAAATAGGTTAATTTTAGTAGCAAGAGTAATGACAAACCTTATACAATTTGTACAGTTTTATACAAGTCTATGAATTAAAAATTCAGTAGTTAAAACATAATGTCATTAATGAGTTTTGCATAACATACATTAATAGTATAATAAATTGAAATAAAGACTAGTATACAGTGATATAAAGATTGTGTATATCTAAAATAAGTAACTAAAAACTAGAACACAGACTGACAGTCTTGTGGTCATCTCAACCTTATATTCCACTAACTCTTTCATTTTGCTTCTTTACTGATCCCACTCAAGCACCTCTGATTTCAGACAAGCCACTAACAGGACAACACAATTAATTTATCCAATAATTGTAATACCATATTTATGTTAATGTTCATATCTTTAAATAAAGCCCAGATTCTCACCTTCATAAGGGGTATTGTAAAGTTTTCATTAAGGTTCACCTAGTACAAGAAAACAAATCTATTCTGACTAGCTACAACTGCAGGAACCACTTGATAAAATGTATACCCTGTAGCTAAGTTACTTTTATAAATGTATAAAGAAAACCTGGAGATTTTACATTTTTTATATCTGCATGTGACTGCCTGTCAAAATGCATTCATAAACCAACTTGTCAATTTATCCACTTTGGTATGATCTGTAACAACTTGTTGAAACAGTTTTGCATGTGACAGCCTTCCATGGTCCCTCAATTGACTTGTAACATATATATGGTGCACTACTTTAATAAATTTCCTTTAAATTTAAAATGGTATATGTCAACCAAATGTGTGTTGAAACAGTCAGCAGGACAACAGCAATGTACCTGTTACAGTAAACAAATAACTAATACCAATTTTGAATTGTTGCATTTATTTATGTACAAAGAACATATACAGGGTGTCCCAGGAGGAATGGACCAAACTTCATGAGGGTGTTCCTTATGTTAAAGTATGCCGATATAACCCAAAACACCCATGTCCAAAGTTGAACGGTTACGGAGATAATGGCCAGAGAAGTGTCAAACTTTGACCGGTGTTACACACTTGTTGATTATAAAATACATATTAAAACTGGCAGGAATGTGTGGTTTCTGTAATGTTAATAATGTACATAACATCAAACTAATTTGTGAGTGAAGTGAAGCCATAAAATTGAAGTACAAAATACTCGCTTGCCATGTCATAATTGTCCTTACGGTTTCCAAGCACTATACATGACAAGACTGTCAAGCGCTGACATAACGTGGCTGACTGCGCCACAACGTAATCTGTAGGCTCTGTAGATAGCGCATGAGCTTAGCTAGTGTCTCACAGATAAGAGTCTCAGCTGACAGGTATAGTGCGTGGACCCGCCAGAAGACCACACTTTTCTCGGGCCATTATCTCCATAACCGTTCAACTTTGGACATAGGTGTTTTGGGTTATATCGGCATACTTTAACATAAGGAACACCCTCCCGAAGTTTGGTCCATTCCTCCGGGGACATTCTGTATACATGGCATAATTAACTTACCTGTGGATATACCAGCTCCAGCCATTGTGATTATATTTTTGCAATTCCTTTCTTGAATATATTTTATGACACCATCAACAGATGCCTCAGTTAGCGCCTGGAAGCGATTTTGTCCTGTTATTCTTTCTTGCTACATATGCTAAGAGTGAATCGATCATGACCAAGCAGTTGTGATTATTACTTATTTCACTAAAATAAAACTTTCATGTATGAAAGAGTAAGTTATTAATAAAAGAAACTGTGTCACTCATAGCAAACTGGCTACTATCCAAGTCCTATAGATCATGACCACGATGGTATTTAACCAACCATGCAATATGAAATTTGAATGAAGTACACCTGAAGGCAATACAAAACCATAATACTTGGTTGGGGTTGTGTTGAACCCTTGACTCCAAATTGGAAAATATATATTACCACATCAAACACAACTACTTAAGAAATTTCTGGCTGCTATGACTAACATACTCTTCGAACCATCAACATTTGCATTTACTATACCTTAACCTTCTCTTGAAATACTTCTTTCTTATCTTCAGAAAACCCTAATTTTTCGGCAAAATATCTTCGAATCAATTCAACTGCTCCTTCGTCTTCATTACTCTGCTGATACCCGTCTTTCGATGAACTGCCATTGCCCACACAGCTTTCTGCTTCACCTTTTTGTGATTCATCCCCTGCGTAAATTATCAGTTTTCAGTATTACAAAGCAAGGTAACAATTAGTTACGGTTTAGTTGTTAGCACTTCCTTACCATCTCTCCCTGAAGATGCCATCAACAAAGACGAGATTTAATTGTAAAAACAATGACTTCTGATATTGTATACTGTTAATACTAATATTTAACCAGTTGACACTTCTCAGACCTCAAACGGGACCACATCAAAATACATACTTAACCACGCAGATAGGTTTCCACACACCAGAGCCACCAGAGCGATCGCGGTAGCGGTGGCGGGCGCGATAGCGGTGGCGATGACGTCTTCTCACACCAACCTTGCGGTGGTAGCGATCATTGTGCAAAATCGCGTAAGCACAACATTGTAAACGATGCATCGATTATCTCGTCTGGAACGTCTGGAAGAAGCGTTACTTTTGGCAGCGGTTGTTGATGATCAGGAGCAGCAGCAGGCAAAGGTAATTATTCCTTTTATTGTGTAAAACTGGAGAAATTTAAGAAGTTATTACAAATATTAACATCACAATTAATGTATATTGATTACTATATTTTTCAGAAAGAAGCGTAAGAAAATGTGGATTCACAACCTGGATGTTCTGCTTCGTGAACATGGAGAATTTCATACTTTATATGGGCAACTCCGGCAACATTAAGAAGGATTCTATATTTACTTTCGGATGCCAATTGAATGTTTTGGTGATCTACTGGACCTATTAAGGGGATATTATGTAATTTTACTTCTTCAATAAGTTGCTGTGTTGTTGTACTCATTGTTCATGCTAACACACAGCAACGCGGTCATCGGTCAAACTCTACAGGCTGCATCTGATCGCCACCGCGGAATAGAAAGCTGCGCTGTCCGGAAGGAACGCAGCCTGTCTGGAAGCGTCTATGAGTTCAGCAGGGAACATCTGACCGCGATCGCTCTGTTGGCTCTGGTGCTCTGGTGTGTGGAAGCCTCAACACGCTCAACACGATGATAGTAGAAATTGAAACATGCGCAGTCGCCAACTGCGCATGTCACTCACTAGTACCGTACTACCATCTGTTTGCGGAGGGAAAAGTGGCTGCTCATCTATACCAATCATAATACAGTTGTCATATCTTCCAGAACCGGTCACAGAGCCTCTACCTAACCAATTTGTTTTCCAGTTGCCTTGGAGGTGACGTAAAATTGTCCCAGTGCATAACAAATTAAGCACTGTGCCATGAACGTGTATAGGCAAGTGGATGTGTAAATCCACATTTTCTTGACCTACCTCGGCACTACCTCGAGGTGAGTGGTCAGCTTCACGACCCGGCCGCTTTACCCACGGGGAAAGAGCCCCAAGTACCCATTAGTAGGAGGTTGGGTGGACTCCAGAGCCAGTCTGCACGACGTGGAGAAGAGAAAATTATTGACCCTACCGGAATTCGAACGTCGACCCCTCGGTCGTCCAGCGCGTAGCCAGTTGCTATACCGCCTGATCTATTCGGGCTCCGATTTCATGTTCCGTTGGTCGATAAATTGTCTTCATTAAATTTGTTCAACGTAACCTCAAAAGGTTTGTAATGTTTGCTGCACACTCTTATCCACACTTACATTTCTCACAATTACTCACAATTTCAGCATCCCAATTGCTTCTTCTGCTGTAATCACTTCCAGGCTTCAACTGCCTCGATTCCATTCACTCGATACAACTCAACAACTCGTAACTGCTAGATTTAAACTGAACTTCTTCACGTTCACAATTCACTCGCTACAACTGAACTCTGCGACTGCTAGACTTCAACTGAACTGCTTAGGCATTCCAGTTAGGCCCCCCATACACACACAGTTTGGCCTGCTGATCGACCTGCAGGTAGAACTGACGGACTGACGGGTTCCTACAGTCCAAACGATTGGCCAGCCGGCCACACCCACACATCAATTTTGCCTTTCAGCCTTGAACTGTGCAGGCCGAACGGGAGGCCAAACTGTGTGTGTATGGGGGGCCTTACTCTTACAGACCCTCAGTCGGACAGTGGTCTCCACCTTCATTTGGTTAGCTTCTAATTTTGCCAGCATTTCAATTATTCGTTGCATATCTTGCTTCTCTCTCTCTCTTTTTTGCAGGATAATGCTCGATGCACTCGTAAATTCAATAATTAGTTCTGAACTTGTGGCATGTTTAAGTTCGTAAATTATTATTTTTGCCATATAATTCTCTCCTGTATTAAACTTGTGAAGATGAATATCAGATTTTCAATGTTCAATACATTTAAGATATTTTATTACTTTTCTCACATTCTCTTCACTTGACATATGTCAAGTCCAGGGTTATAGTGGAAGGAGGGGAAACCAGTTAAACTATGTTGTAGGTACTGTATTTAATGTCTTGAAGAGGGTAGTTACTTTAAGTGATATTTAATAATTAAGTTCCCACCTCACAGAGAACACTATATCTCCTTTACAAAGGAGGTGAGAAACCTCGGACAGCCTACAGGCTAAACGGCTGGAGTTTGATTCACAGCAGAGGCAGGGGATTTTTCTCTACTCCACAGCATCCAGGCTCATTCATGGGCCACCCAGCTTCAGATCCAGCAAGAACTGGAGTCTCTTTCTGCAGGGGTAAAGTGGCCAGGGCATGAAGGTGAACTCACCTCTGTCTAGTGCCAAGGTCAAGAATGGTAGAGCTATATCTCCACTCCTCTCATACATCTTCATGGTATGGTGCCTAAATTAATTATGCACAGTGGCAACTTTATCTTTTTACCTCCATTACAAAGATGTTATGGTGGGTGACAGGACTACTTACAGGGCACTCACCTGAAAGGACACCCATTCAAGATGGGACTAACCAACAATCCCACTTGTGAAAGGTGCCTGGAAGAGGATGAATCAACCACACATGTCCTATGTGACTGTGAGGCTATAGCTTATGTAAGATTTCATTACATAGGACACCACTTTATGGACTCAGGTGACTACTAAGACACCATTTTAAGTAAGATATTATATTTAAGCATCCTGTTGCACTATACACTTGTGTATGTAATAATACAAATGCTGTCATGAATGCAACAATATTTGGTTGCAGTTCTTTGTCTTTTCTTCCCCTACACTACATGTTTTGGCCGTAATTGGCCATCATCAGGTGTATTTTTCACTACGTAGCTGTCACACTGCACACAGTCCAAACTCTGAAACATCAGTCTGTTGGTTTTGTTATAAAATCTCGCCAACACACGCTCATCAATTTGATTTTAGAATTACAGTTTAAAATTTCTAAAATTTGAAGCTTTAAATACCGGGGACACCTGCTCTTGTCTACATGTGCTGCAGTGGCTATTTCTTGTTTTCAGTACCGTTCATGTATTATCTGAAATACACAAATTATGTTTCATACTTTTGTGTGTACTTGCTCTGTGCAGGCTCCCTGTGTGTGTGTCGCTGCTCATCTTTAATACGTTTGTCTGGTGTGTTGTGTGCTGTTTTTTTATGTTATTGAGTGTAGGAGAAGGAAGGGGCAGTGGAGAGGGGTGGATACTGTTAGTCTGTATAGATCTCGTATATTGTTTGAAATATGGGATTGTTTGTTTCTATGTGTCATTCATGTGTAGGCCTTTCTTACCTAATTCGTATATATGGTATTTCTCTAGTATATTAAAATGTCTACCCTTCTTTCGCATTGTTACAACTTCAATTATGTCTGTTATTGTCCGGTATTTAGTACGTGATTTGACTAGCCAGAATTGCTATTATTATTTCTAATATCATGTATATGTTCCTCACATCTGGTGTTAAATGTTCAGCCCGTTTGTCCAATGTACTTCAATGGGCAATCCGCACATTTCATCTGATATATGCCACTTTTATTGTATTTATCCACTTGTGGTTTATGTTTGAGTAATGAGTAATATACTCAAACATAAACCACCGTGAGAGCCCAGAATCCCAGAAATAATTAATTGCTTAAGCTAATGATGGGTATTATTTTATGTTAGAAGAACTGATTAATTGGGTTTAGTATATCCTATCTTCAAAGAATGCATCCTGTTGTGCTAACTTATACTAATTGTTTGTTTATCCATCACAACACAACTCTTAAAATCTCATTCACATTAACTCTATTTAACGAGTTTATTTATTTCATTGGTATCCTGCTGCATGTTTTGGCATATGAAATACGAGGGTCATACTGAAAGTCACGAGCAACAATTTTTTGTAAATTAACGTGCTTTATTATTGACAAACCAAATACACCACCTCAGTCTGCAGACCTTTCTTTATTTTTCCACATAATCACCACTTCTTTGTAAACATTTCTCCCAGCATTCTGGGAGTTTGAAAATTCCCCTTCTGTAAAATTCCATTCCAGCCATCCGAAGACACTGACGCACTGCTTTCTGAATTGCCTCCCTTGTCTCAAAACGTTGTCCACGCAGCTGATCCTTCACAAATCCGAAAAGATGGTAGTCAGAGGGTGCCAGATCAGGGCTATAGGAGGGGTGTGGAAGAACTTCCCATCTCATTTTTGCAATTGCTTTCAATGTGAGGCGAGCGGTGTGGGGGTGAGCGTTGTCATGCAGGATGATGATGTTTCATCCCAGATGTTTATCGCGCAATGCACGATGGAGCTTATGCAGCATCTGGACATAACGAGCAGCATTGATGGTTGCCCAGGTTCCAGGAATTCGGCCAGAATAAACCCCTCTGCATCCCAGAAGACTGTGCAGCTGATGGCACTGTCTTTGCCTTCTTTTTTGATGGAGAATGCAAATGGTGCCATTCCATACTCTGCTGTTTCATTTCAGGCTCGAAATGGTGAAACCAGCTTTTGTGACCTGTCACAATACAGAGCAAAAAATCATCGCCTTCATGTCAATATCTCTGCAGCAGTTCTGAGGTGATGGCTTTTTGCTGACCTTTATGGTCTTCGGTCAATAACCGCGGGACCCAATGAGCACAAACTTTCCTATGGCCCAAGCTTTCAATCATCTCCTGTACTGCGCTGTGCCCTATTCCATGTTTTGGGACTACTGTGTCAAAAGTCACATGCCTGTCATCTTGAATGATCTCATCCACTCTTCCCTTGTTGTGTTCAGTTGAGGCCGTTCGAGGACTACCGCTCCGAGGCTCATCGTCGACGCCGGTGTTCCCATCTTTAAAATGTTTTACCCATCTTCGAACACTGCTCGCACCCATGCACACACTTCCATAAGCATGCTGAAATCTCTGGTGAAATTCTGCAGCAGGGATTTCCTCATTCACAAGAAATT